TAATTCCTAGAATTTATTTCTTGTGGATAAAAACAACCGAACGGTCCCAGGCTCAGTGAGACACTTAGATCTTGCACAAGTGACAACGCCATGAGTGAATTATTTAGAATACACAACTTTAGGTCCCTCCTCACGTATGGGTTTGACCATGTTACTCTATCAACTGGCTAGCCTCATCTTCTACCTCGTCACAATAACCTGAAGGAGCGCTTGAGGTTAGATTTACTAGTATAGACCTACCCTTGTGTTATTTATGTACATGCATCCAAGCTATTTAGATAACGAACGAACTGATTACAATCAGTGGCTGATGTGGTCTGGCCGCTAGCTATCCTGTACCGCAGGTGGTTGTTACCATAATTAAGAGCTAATTTTGGCCGATGGGCATGTGAGAACTCAGTCTGTGGATATGGTTATCATTGTTACTAATGACAAGATTAAAACAGATTTACCACTGTCCATTTCGAAACCGCGTGTCCATTATTATATGTTGGATAAGGATTTCGTTTGTTACCAGCAGAAGTAATTTCTGTTTGAATGTGTTTTCGGATCGCGGCCACTCCATTAATTCACAATTTTATGTCTGCAAAGTTAAATCGTCAAGGATTTAGACGTGTTTACTTAGGCAGATTTGCTTTATCTCCGTGGTGTGCGTATCTTTACTGTCCGTCTGCTGTCCCGGGGTTCTGCATGCCAGGAGAATATGGAGGTCCGTTTGGTTTGGTGCCCTCTTTCTAGCCGGACTGCTCTCTATTCATGTAACCATTTTAAAGCTCTGAATTCACATAGCAAATAGTCCACAGTCAGTTGATTTCATCCGTGTTGTTGAATGGGATCTGAGCGTTTGTGTACATCATTATAATCATGCCTGTTTCACTCGAGTTCGACCTGGCGGAGCTAGCAGACCTGCAACCGCATGATGGGTTTATCACTGATGTGTGTGTTTTCTTAGCAACAGCTTCATGATGCTCCACTTCCAGGATTTACGCTTGTCCACAGTTACTTCTCGTCCTGGTATTACATAGTCCTATCGTAAAGTGTGCGTTTGATCATATTCACGCATTGTCATATCCCGGCGTTCGTGCAAATCGCAAACTTATCGCGGTGCGTTTCATCTGACCTAAGATGAAGGTCGACATTGAGCTTGCGACCAGGCATTACTTAGCCCGCCCAAAGAACAAAGTCATAACGGCATACATTCTCTTTACCAAACACCTTTGCTGTTCTCAACGTGTGTTTTCATGATGTCCATGTGGACTTACTCGGACCT